CTGGTGGTGGTGGCCAAAGGACAAGAGGAAGATGGTACGACAAGCAAAGGAAGGGAGGGGAGAATGCAGCAGATAGCACATGTTCATTACAAGGGCTCTCGCAGATGCGCTCCCTGAGGTCCGCGTCCTGCACTGCCACTATGTCGTATTGCACCTGAGGAAGACAGGAAAGGGAGGGAGGCAGAGCAGAATCAAGGAGGAGGCGCAGGGAATTCATGTGGATTCCTGCAGATGCACTCCCTAGGATCCGCGTCCTGCACTGCCACTAAGTCGTATTGGACCTGGGAGTGAGAGAGATGCGGAGAGAGAGAGGGAGAATGCAGGAGAAAGGGGGTCAGGGTTTGTGTTGGCTCCTTCACGTCAACACCTCCCTGGGCTGGGATCCGCGCCCTGCACTGCCACTATGTCGTACTGCACTTGATTCGATAAAAGAGAGAGGGGAAACAGGGGAGAACGCGGCAAGCACAGGGTTGTTACACGTGTTCGTGCAGTTGTGCTCCCTGGGGTCCGCGTCCTGCACTGCCACACGCACTCACCCACCCACCCGCCCTCCCACCCACCCACCCACCCACCCACCCACCCACCCACCCTCCCACCCGCCCTCCCAACCACCCACCCACCCACCCACCCACCCTCCTACCCACCCTCCCACCCTCCCACAGGGCCATCCACACTCCAACTGCCGCGACCCACTCACCAACCCCCCCATCCACCCTACTAGCTTTCTCAGCTAGCACACCTACTGACCCACCTTGGCCTGGTCCAGCTGGTGCGACAGATTGCTCACGAATTTCCTCCGCACTCCAGCATTGTGCTTCTCGATCACACGGTCGACCTCTGCCATTGCCTCTGCTGACAGTGTTGAATCCGCGTAGGCTGGAGGGGGAGCGTGGGACACACAGGCATAGGTGTTGCCCTAAGAAACCAGAGTACAAGCTGGCTCTCCCCACACCACCCCGGCGTTGTGCTTCTCTCTCAATCGGTCAACCTCTGCTGACAGCGTGGAGTCGGCATAGGCTGGTGGGGGAGAGGTGGGGGTGTGGGGGGAACAGAGAAGGTCGACTTTTGAGTCGACTCAAAAGTCAACTGGTGGGGGAGAGGTGGGGGTGTGGGGGGAGCAGAGAAGGTCACGAAATCACCTCCCCGGCACATGAAACGCCACGCCTCTACATCACTCGGTCCACCTCCGCCATTGCCTCTGTTGACAGCGTGGAGTAGGCATAGGCTGCAGCGGGAAGACAAGGGGGTGTGTCGGTGTCGGGTGGGGCACACAGGCAAGATACAGCCAAAAGAAAACAGAGAGCAGAGTCACTCTTCCCACACCACCCCAGCGTTGTGCTTCTCTATTACTCAGTCCACCTCCGCCATCGCCTCTGCTGACAATGTTGAATCCGCATAGGCTGGAGGGGGAGCGTGGGGCACACAGGCTAGATACAGCCATAAGAGAACAGAGAGCAGAGGGACTCTTCCCACGCCACCCCGGCGTTGTGCTTCGCTATCACTCGGTCCACCTCCGCCATCGCCTCTGCTGACAGTGTGGAGCCGGCATAGGATGGGCTGGTGTTAGGGGTATAGAGGACTGTGGGGCACAGAGTAGCTTTCAATACTTCAAGATGTGGCGCCAATCTTCCCACGCCACCCCAGCGTTGTGCTTCTCTCTCACTCGGTCAACCTCCGCCATCGCCTCTGCTGACAGTGTGGAGTCTGCGTAGGCTGGCAGACGGGTAGAGGGGGTTGCGGGGCACAATCACAAATATACAGCGAGAAATTCACCCATATGGTCAGGTGTGCGGACGCATCTAGGATCCTGCAGCAGCCAGGTAATCATGTAACCAGGTAACCACACAACAAGCTACCCAAGAAATCCAGGTAGTATGCAACCGAACCCGCAAAGAGGCCAGGTCTTGATATTACTGGGCGCACGTGCAATAGGCATGCAACCTTGTAACCATGTGTAACCCTACCTGCAAAGAGGCCAGGTCCCGACTCGACAACTGGGCGCACGTGCAGCAGAGTGACTCGATCCGATGGACGAATGTGGTTCTTGAGCGCCCATGCTACTGCCTTCTCACTAATATGGAGGAGGTGTGGGGGGGGAGGGAGACGGGTGAGCAAAAGAAGAGGCAAAAACATTCAGGCGAAAGGGGGTTCACTCAGCCTGTGTGTGGTTTTTAGGGGCCTAGGCTCCTTGGCAACAGTGATGAGACTATTGTTATCGTGTGGTTCCGTGGGTGCTGTAGGGGACAGATGCTTCTATGAGGGCGTGCAGGGTGATTATACAGTGCAAAGGTAATGAGGCCTCCCAAGCACGACTCACCTGTCAGGGCTGGGATCGACAGCGATCAGAATGTTCCTGGAAGATGTGGGCGAGGCTCGCGGCATGCTGGCAGTTCGGTGTAGACAGGTCACAGGTCGGTGTAGACAGGTCTCAGGTCGGTTTAGACAGGTCACAGGTCGGTGTAGACAGGTCTCAAGTCGGTGTTGACAGGTCTCAGGTCGGTGTAGACAGGTCACAGGTCGGTGTATTCAGGAACCAGGTCGGTGTAGACAGGTCACAGGTCGGTGTATTCAGGTCACAGGTCGGTTTGGTCAGGTCTCAGGTCGGTGCTCTATCCTGGCACAGCGGCTCAGCATCAGAGCGGCAAAGTGCTAGCAATCGTGTTATAACCGAAAGCAAGGTGCTTCCGAAATGCACAACACGCAGTTCAAATGGCAGAATCAACAGCAGCAGCAGGAGGTCCAGTTGCGGCTAGCTGCGAATGGCAGTAGCAGCGAAGGTGAGGCAGGGACGTTGTGATGATTAGTGGCGTTGATGGAGCCTGGAGTTCAGTGAGTGGGGAAGGAAAAGGAGGGGAAGAAGGGGAAGGAAGATTGGAATGGAGATACAGTAAGTTGGATAATGAGTGAGTTGGATATTCAGTGAGTTGACGACATTCAGTGAGTTGACGACGTTCAGTAAGTTGACGACATTCAGTGAGTTGACGACATTCGGTGAGTTGACGACATTCCGTGAGTTGACGACATTCGGTGAGTTGACGACATTCCGTGAGTTGACAACATTCAGTGAGTTGACGGCATTCAGTGAGTTGACGACATTCGCGGCCAGCTGATGAAATCCAATGAGTTGAAGCCATTCAGTAAGTTCCAGTGGAAGCAGAGTCCGGTTAACTTTGAAACAGCGAGCTAAAAACACGCGATGAAATCGTAAGTGCGAATCTAATGCACACTGTGAACAGACAGACAGTCGAGGACGCGTGTGGAGAGCGAAACGTTTAGAAAAGGGAAGAGAGCGTGTTAGGGACGAGCGACAACGACAGAGGCGACGATGCCGCCTTGAATGCAACGCTGCCATTAGCCGAAGCGACATACCGGCCAAACGACTCTTGCGGGGGACAGGTTAAACGGCGGATTCGGAGGCGAAGGGTGAATGCAACGCACGAGATAAGATACGTTCTATGAAGCTATCAAGCCTGTGCAAAAGAGCTGGTTGTTTCTTCGACTCGATGAATTCTTGGTTTATGGAGTTACCAAGACGCTGGTCTGCTCTGGTCCTCTTGGTTCTAGGCCCTTCAGAGTTTCCTTGTCCCTAGAGTTGCGCGGTCTTGTTCTGTTCTTCCTGGAGCTCTCCTGCGCGGGCGTGACTAGATTAGCCAGAGTTTCATCCGTAGATCGTGGAGAGCGAACTAGGTTCGTTCAGTTACGTGTATCGCAGTTTGATGTTATTGGCAGGACTCAGCCCAGAGGATGTCGTTCCACAACGGATTTTCTGTGACACATGAATCAACAGTCCGCTTCGTGTCGTCCGTCCAGCCTGTGGTGCTAATTAGGATACGCCCTCTAGCACTTCGTGGGTGAGATTTTCTCGATGGTCTTCTGTGCTGCCCTTCCCCGCTAGTGGTGGGTGTGTGTCATTCCACGCTGGACCTGGGACATGCTTGCGGGGCAATGATCAGAGATGGTATCCCGGTGCGAAGACCCTGCGACGGGATTTCGCCAAGTTCTAATGCAGACGTGGCAAGCAGGTCAGCGATATTTCTGACCAAAACTCAGGACCATAACCAGTTGACTCAGTAAGGGAAATAAGGATTCCACATTACAGACGAATATGTGTGAGTTTGTGGAATGTGGATTTGTGAGCATCTTCATGAGCGGGATCTAATTCCAATCCCTCTCATCTGGGAAATAAGGAAAATAAGTAACGTGGAATAAGTAATGTGATCATCTTCAGATGGCTAAGGGAAATAAGTAATGTGGAATCCTCATTTCCAATACATAAATATTTGTGAGCATCTTCATGAGCAGGATCGAATTCAGTGGCCAACTGCACAAGGCGTACATTACTAGAGAGGTTCAATAACATTAAAATACAAAACTCTCCTTATGGGCGGACAACCAGAGGAGTAATGATTGTAGCTGCAGCCAACATTCTAACATAATCATTACGACTCACGTGTAATAAGTCATGAAGCTTCACATCGCACTCATCCAAGACCAGGGTAATGGGCATTCTGTATCTCCCTTATAAGCATCTCCTTTTCCTCCTCAAAATCTTCCTCCTCTGTGTTGTTAAAGGGGAAAATCGGAAAGTAAAGGAATGGAATGAAGAATGGGTGAAACAAAAAGACAAGAAGGATAGGAATAAGGAGGCGGATTGGAAGTGAGGAGAGACAACGGGATGCCCTTTGGTAGAAATAACTCGAAGGATATGACAATTAGGAATACAGCCATCTTGCCTTATAACTATGAAAGAAAAATGACTTGTTCAACTGGGCACAGTACATGCACCCCTGTGTATCATCTTTGGACACACACCTTTACCCATTTCATCAGCACACACACCTTTGTTGAACTCAAAGTCCTTGAGGAATTTGACCATTTAGACCATCTTCTCCTTGTTGCAAGGCAGCAGAGTGCTATGACAAATTCTCAGAAGCACTTGACAGCACTCAAGGAACTGACCATCTTGAGGCACAGCCAAAACACACATTTTTGCCATCTGTTTAGCACGTGCGCACACCTTTGTCGATCTCAAAGTCCTTGAGGAATTTGACCATCTTGTCCTTGTTGCGCGCCAGCAGCTTCACAATCTTCTCTGGCTTCCGTGGATTCGCCACAAAGATCTGTGCGGGGGTGTGATGGGAGCCATGAGAGGTGAGATGCACCATGCAGTGACGTACACAGTAGGGGCCTCATGCAAGGAACATGTGCTTTACACTGGAACGGAAAGAGACAGGGAAGAAGAAAAAGCAGAGAGCAAGTACTAGCAGACTGCGTTTTGACCAAGGAGAAAAACATAAGCTGAGAGTTGAAGAATATGGGGAGCACCTTAAACACGTGGAAGGCCTCGTATTGAATGGCTCTGCTGGGGTCCTGATGGTGGGTGGGGTGTGGTGGAGTGCGGTGGGGCGTGGTGAGGTGTGGTGGGGCGTGGTGGGGAATGCATGGGTGTAGAACATGGCGTAATGGTAGTTGGTGTGTATGGGTAAACGAGCTACACATTACCTTGATGAGACTCATCGTGATATAAAAGTTGTGTGCCTTCAGATTTCATTCTTCACTTTACCAAGCCCTTGGTCTGCAACCCTACAACCTTACACTTTTCATGCAGATAAATGGTTCAGTTGAGGGCAATGGTTGAAACACCAAATACCTTGATGAGGGTCATCATGATAGGAACAGCACCTTGATGAGAGTCATCATGATCTTGAAGTTGTGAGCCTTCATTTATGCTTACCAAGCTCTCGTTCTGCTTGCAGCACACCTGTATGTCTCCAACAACCCAAGTACCTTGATGAGAGTCATCATGATCTTGAAGTTGTGTGCCTCTCTTAGCTTCTTCTAAATATAACCGAATCATTACGCCCCTCCATATCCCTTTTTAAGACCCGAGTACCTTGATGAGAGTCATCATGATCTTGAAGTTGTGTGCCTCTCCAATGTATCGCATCATCACTTGCATGTTGGCTCGGTCCAGAAGAAGCTCGCCTAGCAGCTGATGGGGGCGGGAAGGCGGGGAGCACAAGGGAAAGGTGAGGAACACACACACAGAATTGATGTTGCACTGTGTGCCTCTCCGATGTATCGCATCATCACTTGCATATTGGCCCGGTCCATAAGCAGCTCGCCTTGCAGCTGGTGTGAATGGGCAGGCAGGAGGGGGTGGGCAGGGGAGGCACATATAACACAAGGGAGTAAGGCGTGGGATGATAAGGCATACCTTGATAGCTTGTCTTCTCGTGACATAGTTGTCCGAGTTGAGGAGCAGATCAAAGCGCTTGAAGAACTGACGAGGCATTTTTTCAGGCGCCTAAATGATCCTTTCCAGGAGCTGTCAGGTGTACCTTGATAGCTTGTCTTCTTGTGACATAGTTGTCCGAGTTGAGGAGCAGATCAAAGCGCTTGAAGAACTGATGTGCCACAGGGTCATGAGGTGATGGGGTGATGGGGAGGTGGAGTGATGGGGCGATGGGGCGATGAGTTGATGGGGTGATGAGACGATGGGGTGGTGAGGTGATGGGGTGATGGGGAGGTGAGGTGATGGGGTGGTGAGGTGATGGGGTGGTGAGGTGATGGGGTGGTGAGGTGATGGAGTGGTGAGGTGATGGGGTGGTGAGGTGATAGAGTGGTGAGGTGATGGGGTGGTGAGGTGATAGAGTGGTGAGGTGATGGAGTGACTATAAACTTTGAAACACTCGCATGTGTTGGTCATTAGAAACTTTGCTGTCACAGCTGGATGTGACTATAATCCACACTTGCCCCGTTTCTTTCTGCCCTCCCTACCCCACCCACCCCCTTCCCCCATCCCCTTACATACATCCTCGAAGTTGGTCATTAAGAATTCTGCTGCCACAGACGGATGTTGCTTCAGCAGGTCCTGCTCAACCCATGGGGAGCATGGGAGGAGGGGTGGGTTGTGGGTGGGTGGAAGGGCAGGCGTGATAGCAGATTGGATTTCAAAGAGCTTGCTACGTCTGCTGAGTCTTGCTGGGATGCGGCAGAGCGGCAGGCTGTCGCTTCGGCAGGTCCAGGTCAAACCATGGGTGGGATGGGATGGGAGGGGCGGGATATGGAAGGGCTGTCATCATGGTGCCGTGATTCTAGACTCTATAGTCAACTTGTTATGCTCTCGCGTCCCTAGAGCAGGGCGCAAGGGCCCTGCTCTACTTGTTTTGCGTGCATGGGGGGCATAAGAGGAGGGGGCGGGATGTGGAAGGGCAGGGCAGCAGCATCACGGTGCGATGAGTCTAGAGTCCACACAAGGATCCTAACTTGTGGTGCGTGCATGGGAGGCATGGGAGGAATGGGATGTTAAAAAGATGGTATCAGAGCTTTGATGAGGAGTTAGCGGTTTGCACAGGGTGCTGTGCTGCTGTGGCGATCACAGCGTGCTGAGGCAGAGGAATGATCAGAGGCAATGTCAAGATTCTGGAAGCACAGAGTGGGTGCTGTTGTGACACTATAGGGACCTAAGGCGTGGCCCAGTTTGAGCCCTCAGGTTCAGCAACAGCTGCTGCTCGACAGCGCACGTTGAGGGAGAGGAAGGTGTGAGAGGCAATGTCAAAGTTCCGCAGGTCACAGGGTGAAGCGAGGTTGTTTTTGAGACGTCTCAACATGAAGCGAGGTTGTTTTTGAGACGTCTAAAAAAAAATCGACAGCCCAAGTTGAGGGAGAGGAAGGAGTGAGAGGCAATGTCAAAGTTCCGCAGGTCACTGGGTGCTGCTGTGGTGTGGCGGCGGTGACAGTGAGCTGTTGTGCCATGGCAGCCGAGGGAACCAAGTGCTTTCAAACCCAAGCGCACTAGCAGAAGCAGAGGCATAACTTGCCTCCGAGGACAGGGTAAGTTATCGCTGGGTGGATGGTGAGTGTTCCTTGAGGGTGAGGAAGGCGTCAGAAACAGTGTCAAAGTTCTGCAAGTCAGGGTTTGTTCCTTGGGCGCTGTTTGTGGCGGTGGCTGGCAGGGTGGTTACTGTGTGCAATAGCACACCAAGAACAATGGCACTGGGTGTTGCATGCAAACACACCTTGAGGGTGAGGAAGGCGTCGGAGGCAGTGTCAAAGTTCTGCAGGTCACAGCCGCCCATGATGATGTCTAGATTCGAAAACTGCAGTGTGTGGCTGGGAGGCAGAGGGGGAGCGAGTTGGAGGGATGTGGAAGGGAAAATACGGGAGGAGAGGAGAGGAGAGTTCTGTAAGTCACAGCCACCCATGATGACATGTAGATTCGGCGCTGACGAAGGCCTCACGGCCGAAACGCGTACCCACACCGCTTGCTGCGGTTCGAACCCACATCTTCGTGTGCGAGAGGAGAGGTCTGAAAGTCACAGCCGCCCATGATGACATGTAGATTCGGCGTGTGGCTGGGAGGGCAGGGAGAAGGGATGGGGTGCAGAGGTGGAGGGGTGTGTGGGCCAGGAGAGTGAGCAAGGAGGCAGAGTCCTGCAGGTAAAATGGGGTGCAATCAGGTCAAATCTGGTGCGAGCAGGTGATAAAGGGTACTAAGAGGTTGCATGGAGTGCAAGGTTAGGGGTGCACATCCTCCCACTTCTTCCCTTTCCCCACCTCTTACATCCCCATCCCTTCGATCCCCCACCCATAACCCAGCCCCCCTCTCATCTCAGGTAAGCACCCCTCCACTCCACAGAACACCTTTTGATCATCTCACACTCTGTTCCTTCTCCCCCACAGCGCTCTACTCCTCTCTACACCTCTCCACACCTCTTCTACCTGACGAGTTTGGGCGAGCGAAGGCATTCTCTCAGCATGAGACCGGAATTCTGAGCAATGTCCTTCTGCTTGTAGCTGGGTGGGGAAGGAAGGGGAAAAAGGACAAGGGGAAGGGGGGCGAAAGGAGAAGGGGAGAGAGAGAAAGGAAGGGGGGTGTGGAAGGGAGGAAAAGGAGAAAGTAAGCGGGGAAGACATCACTGGAGTCTGGAGGGGGAGAGGAACGAGATCTGCATAGTTGCTTGCCTGCATACATTCTAATTGTCATTCTCATCTGCATACATTCTAATTGTCATTCTCATCTGCATACATTCTAATTGTCATTCTCATCTGCATACATTCTCTTCTCAGTACGACGCCCCAATCCTGCATTCAATCCGTCTAACATTGTCATCTGCAAATCTCACATTTGCTTTTTTTTTTTTTTTTTTTTTTTGGCTTCCCGTACACTTGAGCAGTCGAAATTTCCGGATTCGAAGAATCTTGGATGACACGAACAGTGCCCACGCCACGAGCTGGAGTACGGCTGAAAAGACATACCCGCGTACAAGCTCATCCACCAGCTCTGTATGCCTCTCTCCACAAACTCCAACGCCATTGACTATACCTCCTCTGACTCACTGTAAGCCCCTGACTCACTATAAGTCACTGATCCACTCACCCGCGTACAAGCTTATCCACCAGCTCTGTATGCCTCTCCACAAACTCCAACGCCACTGCCGGTCCTTCTTCTTCCTCTTCCTCCTGAGGCGCTCCCTTCTGTGCTCCCCCGCCCTCCCCTCCCTCCTCCTCCTCCTCATCCTCATCCTCGTCATCATCCCCCTTTGGTCGCCGTCTCTTCCCGCCGTGTGCAAGGAGGTACGTCCACACCAGCACCATCTCCTTGCGTGCCTGAGGGCGACAGGGATTGCGGGGAGTGCAGGGGGATTTGCTTTGGCTTTATAGGTCAGCAGCCCAAAACCCCTCCCCTCCCTCCTCCTCCTCATCCCCCCATCTCCCCTGCTCCGCTCCCCCTGTGTGCAAGGAGGTACGTCCACACCAGCACCATCTCCTTGCGTGCCTGAGGGCGAAAGGGATTGCAGGGAGTGCAGGGGGATTTGCTTTGGCTTTATAGGTCAGCAGCCCACAACCCCTCCCCTCCCTCCTCCTCCTCATCCCCCCATCTCCCCTGCTCCGCTCCCCCTGTGTGCAAGGAGGTACGTCCACACCAGCACCATCTCCTTGCATGCCTGATCGAAAAGAAGGGGTTGCAGGTAATGTGGTGGAACTCGTTTTGGATCTACAGCTCAGAAAACCCCCTCTTCTCCCCCTCCCATTCCCTCCCTCCCCCCCTTCCCCCCTTCCCCCCTCTCCTTCACTTCAACATGTGCAAGGAGGTACGTCCACACCTGTACCATCTCCTTGCAAGGCTGATGGTGAAAGGGATTGCAGAGAGTGCAGGGAATGCAGGGTTACCACCACCTATATGGGTTACTTACACACACAAATAGTACCATCGCCGCTAAAAACATTCTCATTACAATCACGCACTCGTTACAACCAAGCATTCCTGAACAGCCATGCACTCACAAGCACTGTGCAACGCACCTCCCAATCAAAGACAGGCAGATGCGACACCAGCAGGGGCAGCAGGTCACACTTGACCGACTCCGCTACAGCCTCGCGATTGGGCAGGTGTATGCACTCACAACACAACACAATGCACAACGCACCTCCCAGTCAAAGACAGGCAGACGCGACACCAGCAGAGGCAGCAGGTCACACTTGACCGACTCCGCTACAGCCTCGCGATTGGGCAGGTGTATGCACTCACAACACAACACAATGCACAACGCACCTCCCAGTCAAAGACAGGCAGACGCGACACCAGCAGAGGCAGCAGATCACACTTGACCGACTCCGCTACAGCCGCCGCTACAGCCTCTTTGTTGGGCGGCGCGTCCAAATCGCCTATCAGCAGCACTCGCACAGTCACCAGGCTTTTCAACACCTCCTCTGCACTCTGTGACACAAATTTCACAGGAAAGAGCGGGAAGTGGAAGCTGCATTCGCATCCAAATCACCTATGAGAAGCACTCGCACTGGGATTTCAGTACCTCCTCTGCACTCTGTAGTGTGGGGAAGGGGGGAAACAACACATTGAGGAGGAAGGGAACTGCGCTGACATGATTGGGTTGGGCGGCGCGTCCAAATCGCCTATGAGCAGCACTGCACTGTCACCAGGGATTTCAACACCTCCTCTGCACTCTGCGTTGAGGGTGTTGGGGGTATCACAGCAAAGAAGAGGGGGACGTGATTTGGAAAGAGATTGCATTGTTGTGTCTGGATCGCCTATGAGCAGCACTCGCACTGTCACCAGGGATTTCATTACCTCCTCTGCACTCTGCGTTGAGGGTGGTGGGGGTATCACAGCAAAGAAGAGGGGGACGTGATTTGGAAAGAAACTACACTTTTGTGCCTAGATCGCCTATGAGCAGCACTCACATCGTCACCAGACTCTTCAGAATCTCCTGCAGCTGCACTCTCTGGTGGCGTGGGTGGGGTCTCACAGAAAAGGAGGAGGGGAGAGGAGGGGGGAGGTGGGGGTGACACGGGGAGTATTCACACGGTTCAGTCCAGATCGCCTATGAGCAGCACCCGCACTGTCACGAGACTCTTGAGCACCTCCGCTGCGCCCTGTGAGTATGAAATCACAGAACGGACCAGGGTGGGGGGTGGGGATTGGGGAAGGGGGGGGACCAAATATTCAGATTTGCTCTTTTTCGTGCTTGCTGCAATGCAATGCACACGAGCAGCACGCAACGCACACTGTCACCAGGCTCGCCAGCACCTCCTCTGCACTCTGACACAGCTGAAACAGGAATGGTGGGGTGGTTAGGTGGAGAAGAGGGAAGATTCATCTTACGGCAGACGAGCACCACGTGCACTGTCTGTCACCAGTCTTTTCAGCACCTCCTCCAATGTGGACAGGTCAAATCTCTCTCTAGATTGACGACATGCTCAATGAAACCAATTTGCTGTAGGTCGTTTTTTTAGAATTCTCAAAAACGACCTACAAATACATGCACTGTCACCAGTCGTTTCAGCACCTCCTCCAACGTGGTCAATCCTCTCTCTAGTCTAGATTGACGACATGCTCAGTGAAACCAATTTGCTGTAGGTCGTATTTTATTGAGTTCTCAGAGACAACCTACAAATACATGCACTGTCACCAGACTCCTCAGCACCTCCTCCAATGTGGTCAATTCGCTCCCTAACGCTCTCTAGATTGACGATATGCTCAATGAATCCAATTTTTACGATTCCTGCTGAGAGAAACTTCAGTTCTGATGTAATATGTAATTTCCAGGTGTGCCTGACTGACATGATGTTGTAGTTCTGTTGCACTCGCGTCGCACGGCTCCCATTGCGACACCTTCGTCGCGCGAGTCGGCATTGCGACACTGGCATTGCGGAACTCCCATTGACGACACTCGCATTGCGACATTCCCACTGCGACACTGGCATTGCCACACTCCCATTGCGACACCCGCATTCCGACAATTCATTCGTCGCCATCGCCAAGCAGTGGTCGCACGGAAGCACTCCCAACAGTGAATTATAATTCTTGATTAGAATTCTTAGTATAATTTCAACACCCACCTTATCATCTCGTGGCAGCGACTGAAGCCCATCCGCGAGCGCTCGCACTATTTCCGCTGGCGTCTTAGGCTTCGACATAAAGCCGAACATTGCGACAAGCGCTGCCGCCTCTAACCACCTGCCTCACGGCTTAAATGCTGCGGAACTCGCTCGCACGCGTCGCACGTTCGCTAACACTCCAAAAAGCTGACGAAATTAAACTTTCTACTGAGTGGCGAGTCCCTGATCACCAATGGCATGTGACTGGGTGGGGAATGTGGTTGTGTGTGATGAGAAACTACAAGTACAATGGTCACCGCGCGATGAAAGCAGTGCAGTGCAGGCAGCATCCAGTAAGACAATTTCTAGGGTGAGTTTTTCTAGGGACAAATGGGGAGGGGTAGTTGTTTGGTGGATGTGTAGGAAGGACAATTTCTAGGTGATTTCTGCTCGTTCAGCTGTACAGTACCGCCTCTTTCTCGCCATGATGGGAAAATCACGGTTAACGGTGGTAAAAGTAATGTTTGATATGGTTCAATTAGGCAAACCAAAGATATCAAGGTTTTCCTCCAGTTCGGCACAGTTTAGTGTAGCGAGAAAGAGGGTGTAACCCAAGGGTACCGCTCCGTCACGTATCGAAATCTCGTCCAGCCGCTTGACCATGAGCACAAACGGAAAGTGCCAGGTCATTTCATATTAAGCTGACGTGGCGAGGCTGGTTACCGTTTGTAACAAGCCAGTAGTTTCAAACTATTCACTTATGATCTCATATTGAATGGTACAATTGGTGGCAGCATAATAACTTATATAACAATATGAGTGCCAAAAATACATCCCTTAAATCTTCACAGGGGACCAAATACAGTTCTACCATCAACGCATTAATCAGAGATACTCGCATGACGAATACTTTCTCATATTGATTTCACGTGGTGATAAATATATCCCCAGGTCTGTCATACGCGTTATACCTATTCGATGACACTCTCAATGTGTCACTCTGATCGCTGATGTCCAATGAGCCTCCTTGCTTACCTCATTCTCACCAGCTCTTCCACATCCTGTCAGTCACATCACAAAGAATTTCACTCGCTTGAGCGAACTGCGGTCAGTCGCTCTCGCCTTAATCTCATGAGACGCGGTAGTTTCCATGTAAAGTGGTGCACTCTTGGGTCAGTTAGATAGCTCTGTTTGTGTGTTTTTCATACCTCGGATCAATCCGCGCTAGAAAACGATCCCTTTGTCGCCAATGGCATCAGCAGCACCGAGCAATTCAACCGCTGTAGCAGACTGTGCATCGGCTGTAGCAGAGGCAGCAGTGCAGCTGCTGCCGGCTGTAGCAGAGATGGGTACCGCAGGTGTCGTGTATATGGCCGCTGCGTCCTGCGCTCAGGTTGGTCCAAATTGCTAGTTCTGGCTGTCGCGAAATTGCGGCTGTATTGAACCCTGCAAGTGCGAATTCGGCTGTAGCGAACCTTGCATGTGCTCATTTCGGCTGTAGCGAACCTTGCATGTGCTCATTTCGGCTGTAGCGATCCCCGCATTAGAGATGTCAAACGGACTGTACACCTTCTGTGTACGTACGTGTCCCTAGAAGCGTCTGGCCACATCCTCATATTCATATTCATATTCCTTGGCCTATATGTGCTTCCATGGCAGCACCCCCATCCGCAACACCCCTTTTCCCCCTCCCTAACCCCCCTCCTCCCCCCCCCCCCACTTCCCTCCCCCTTCCCTTCCCCTCCCCTCCCCCACCCCGCTACCCCTCCCCCACATCTTTCCTTCCTCACCTGCGTTCTTACCAATCCGACCCCCTCTCCCCCCATCCCCGTTATAAGCACGTTGGCATCACGTTGTGCAGAGTCTCCTGCGCTGCACAAGCCTCCCACTCTCTCCTCCCCATCCCCGCTACAAGCATTCTGGCATCTTATGCAAAGTCTCCTGTGCCTCACCCGTCTCCTTCTCTCTTTCCCCCATCCCCGTTACAAGCATGTTGGCATGGTGTGCAGAGTCTCCTGCGCCTCGCCCGTCTCCTCCTCTCTCCTCGGTGCTCTCTGCATCGCTGCCGGCTCGCTTGCCTCCGCGCAGGTATGCAAGCATGCGTCTACTCCCTTCTTGCCTTGTCCATCTCCCCGTCTCCTCCTCTCTCCTCGGTGCTCTCTGCATCGCTGCCGGCTCGCTTGCCTCCGCGCAGGTATGCAAGCATGCGTCTACTCCCTTCTTGCCTTGTCCATCTCCCCGTCTCCTCCTCTCTCCTCGGTGCTCTCTGCATCGCTGCCGGCTCGCTTGCCTCCGCGCAGGTATGCAAGCATGCGTCTACTCCCTTCTTGCCTTGTCCATCTCCCCGTCTCCTCCTCTCTCCTCGGTGCTCTCTGCATCGCTGCCGGCTCGCTTGCCTCCGTGCAGGTATGGTTAAACAGTGAGGCTCGATAGTGAGTCTCGGCAGCAAGGCTTGAAACCCTGCAGAGAGGGTAGGCAGGCCACACATCCGCCTAAGAGGAGAAGAGTCTCCTCGCCCGTCTCCCCCTCTCTCCTCGGCGCTCTCTGCATCGCTGCTGGCTCCATTGCCTCCGTGCAGCTGAGGCTCGGCATTGAGGCTCGGCATTGAGGCTCGGCAGTGAGGCAGTTGGCATGGTATGCAGAGTCTCCTGTGCTTCGCCCGTCTCTTCTTCTCTCCCCGGTGCTCTCTGCACAGCTGCTGTCTCCCTCGCCTCCGCGCATGTAAGGCTCGGCAGTGAGGCTCGGCAGTGAGTTTCGGGAGTGGGGGCTCAAGTTCAACTCAGTAGCAAATGCTTTAACCAAGGCCCAACCCAAGTAGACGGGGCAGAGCACAGTGGGTAGGGCAGGTGCAATTGTATGGGGTATCTTACCCCATAACATCCCATCCCATGCCCTCACTTCCCTTTACAACCCCTCCCTTCCCACCGCCCCCCCTCCCATCCCATCCCATCCCCACCCCAACACATGCTACCACCCCACCACAACCCACTCAACGCCATTCGACCCACCTGCTACATGCAGGCCTCACAGGCGGTCCACGCAGCCTTTCACCCGACCCCACGCCACTGCACACCACTGCATCCCACCCCACTCCACCGCATGCAGGCCTCACAAGCGGTCCACACAGCCTTTCACCCATCGCAGCAACAATTGTCTTACCAGCCCATCTCATCCCAATTCCTCTCATCCCCTCGCCTCCCATCCGACCCCTCGCCACCGCACACCACTGCATCCCACCTCACTCCACCGCATGCAGGCGTCACAGGTGGTGCATGCAGCCTTTCACCCGCGTCAACAACAACAGTCATCTCACAAGCCCAGCGCCCCATTCAAGCAGCAGCCACGCCAAGGCAGCAGCAGTGCCAGCAGTCAGCAGAGCACAAAGGGGACGACGACACACAGCGCGTGGGGGCTGTGGGCTGGCAGCAGCGGCAGCACCAGAACCAGCAGCAGCAGTAGCAACAACAGCAGCGGTAGCAACAGCAGCAGCGGTAGTGACAGATACTTAGGACTCAGTGACGGGATGGAGAGGGCGCAGAGGGGACTCGCAGACATGAGAAGGCGGGCGGCGGATGAGGTGGCACGCCATGATTGGCCGAGCATGTCTTCTAGGCAAGCAGCAGCGCATGTGGTGGTTGGACTGCTGGCATTCAAGGTGGGTTTAAATTCTGGACCGGCCGAGCCTCTTCAGTGTGGATCGGTCGGTCGCCTCCCTTGCTTTGTCCCCCCAACTAGCAGCAGCGCAGCCATGTGGTGGTTGGACTGCTGGCATTCAAGGTGGGTGGGTTTGGGAAATGGGACTGCTTTTGAGTCGACTCAGAAGCGGAAATGGGACTCCTCTTACCTGCCGTTGCCGCCCTTCTCCCTCTGCATGGCTCTGCCTTTCGCTCACGATTCACACGCTATTGCTCGCACCCCTGTACTCCAAGATGCTAGGTGGTGGCTTCTGCAACCTCATGCCCAGCAACGCGCCACCCTCACATCCTTCCAGTTCGCATTCCTACCTCACCCTCTCACCCCTCCCTCACCACGCTGTTTTACAAGATGATAGGTGGTCGCTCAGCGACATCACTCTTATTCCCACCCCTTCTGCATTAAACCTTACCCCACACCCCTCCACCCCGCACCCCTACCCTCCAAGATGCTAGGTGGCCGCTTCTGCAACCTCATGCCCAGCGACGTGCAAAAACGAGGCGCCTTCGCCTCCTTCTCCCTGCCAGGTGCGTGTGCTGTGTGCACTCATCCACAAGTTTAGTACCACACTGTCAGGCGCGCCCTGCCAGGTACGCCCTGCCAGGTACGCCCTGCCAGGTACGCCCTGCCAGGTACGCCCTGCCAGGTACGCCCTGCCAGGTACGCCCTGCCAGGTACGCCCTGCTAGGTACATGTGCTGGTGCACTTTCTCACAAGTTCAGTCCACCCTGCCAGTTACGCCCTACCAGATGGGCAGGGCACACTGACAACGTGAGTGAGTGCTCAGGGCCCACCATTTACTGCGTGTTCTTCAACGGTGTGTGGTGGGCTCTCGCGTCTTTCGAGACGTCTCAATTTGTTTTTGAGTTTTGAGACATCTCAAAAGTCTTTATTGTGTGTTCTTCAACGGTGGTGGGCGGTGGGCACTCACGTTGTCAGCGGAGAGCGGTGGGCTTCCACCACTGCGGGAAAAGACAAGGCAAGACAACCAGTTTCCCACTTTCCCTACCACCCACCTCCCTTCTTCTGATTCGAACCCTCTCCATGCACCCTCTCCATGGACCCTCTCCATGCAGCCAAGGGCAGCAAGTACGCCACGGGGAACTCACGGGGTCTCATCAAAGGCCTCTTCAATCGCTTCGGCTGCCACCACTGCAGCTCACTTTCTCCCTCCCCTTGCTTCTTCCCTCCCTCTCCCCTCCCTCCTCCTCCATGCAGCCAAGGGCAGCAAGTACGCGACAGGGAGCTCAAGGGTTCTGATCAAAGACCTCTTTCATCGCTACGGCTGCCACCACTGTGGGACAAGGCGGGGCGACTGGTGAGTGTCTTCCTTCTTGTTGCGAGGGGGGAAAGGGAGGGCAAGGTGTGGGGTGGGTTTGTTCGTGTTGGTAGAATTCTGCGAACGGCCCATGCTGAAACGACTTTTAGTTCTGAGGCGCCTCAAAACCAGACGCCTCAAAACGAGGCACCTCAAAACCAGACGCCTCAAAACGAGGCGCCTCAAAACCAGACGCCTCAAAACGAGGCGCCTCAAAACCTGACGCCTCAAAATGAGGCGTCTCAAAACTGGGTTTGTTCGTGGTGTTAGAATTCTGCGAACGGCCCATGCTGAAACGACTTTTAGCAATTCCTGTCTTAATCTCTTTATCCTCACACCTCCCTCCCAACCCAGCATTGCAGACCACATCCCCACCAACTGGGATGTGCACGGGGCTAGATGGCTCAAGCGCTCCAAGCATACTCGCACTCAACCTGCCCTCTCTGTGCCTCTCGTCTCCTCTCCCTCTCCGCTTACTCGTCTCCAAGTATATCAGACCACATCCCCACCAACCGGGATGTGCACGGGGCTAGATGGCTCAAGCGCTCCAAGCAGACTCGCACTCAACCTGCCCTCTCTGTGCCTCTCGTCTCTGTGTCTTTTCCTCTCCGTTCCTCTGTCCTCCTTTCCCTCCCAGCATTGCAGATCACATCCCCACTAACCGGGACGTGCATGGGGCCAGGTGGCTCACACGGTCAAAGCAGATCAACTCTCCACCTACCACCACCACATCTGCTCCCACTACCACTGCTACCACTGCCGCCACTGCAGCCACTGCAAGCACTGCAGCCACTGCAAGCACTGCAGCCACTGCAAGCACTGCAACCGCTGCTAGCACTGCTACTAGTGTCGCCACTCCAGCCATAGAAGCTTCCACGAAATCTGCATCCTGGCCTGCCAAGATCATGCCCCTGGGCTTGCTGCGAATTTTCCGCCCTTCAGCAGGAGCAGTTGAAGGAGCAGCAGCAGGAGCAGCAGGAGCAGGAGCAGTAGCACGAACAAGCACGGCAGCCAGTGCCAAACAGGCTCGGGCCAAGCCTGCTGCCAAGCCTGGGCGCATGCCTCGGGTTTCATCCACTTCCACTTCGTCTTCCTCCCGCCTTTCTAGATCTCCCACTATGAAACAGCGCGCATCTGTTGTCCACCGCTCTCCTATTCTCAGGCGCCAGGGAAGCACAAGGGGGACAGGAACAGACACTGGAAAGCCGGGCGTCGGCGAGGGGAATGTGGAGGACGGGGCGGGAGGAAGGGTAAAACGAGGGACAGAAGGGGCAAAGCAGGGTGCTGAGGAAGCAGGTTCAGGGGCTGCTGGTAAGGGAGGGATTTTCGGATGGCTGGGCCTGAGTCCTGGTCAGGCAGGGCATGGAGTGAGGGAGTCGCAGAGGCAGAGGCTGTACCCGCAGTGTGCTGAGTGCTCCGGAAAGCAGTCGGCTGCCGTGCGCAATCAGCGCCACACACTCGTGCTGCACCGACGGTCAGGATGGCCCCTGGTGAGCACTGGGTGTTTTTGAGAGCGTTGAGAGCACTGGTGAGCAAAGCAGAGCGGAGATGAAAAGGCTCATTCACACCGTCTCCCCTCCCTGCACCCTTGCATTCTCCTGCCGTGCGATCTCCCCTAGCGGCATCCCCACGTTTCTTTCTCGCCCATCCCATCTCATGCACCCATCCCATCCCACACGCCCCCCCTCCCCCCGTCCCATCCCATATCATCTCTTACCCTGCAGCCATACTTGTTTACTGTACCGTACTTAAAGGGTTTTGCTTTGCTTTAAGGGAAGTTTTCCAACCGTCACATTCGCCTCTCCTCTCGCTCTGCAGCCGTACTTGTTGATGGGGGTTTGCTTTGAACGAGACTAATCGTTTCCATTTGTTCGATCTCCTCGTACCCAAGCAGCTTTCACGCCATTCCCCCTCCACAGCCATGCTTGTTCATGAATCATGAGGGTTTTCTTTGCACAAGACTAATCGTTTCCACTTGTTCGATCTCCTCGTACCCAAGCAGCTTTCACGCCATCCCCCCTCCACAGCCATGCTTGTTCATGAATCATGAGGGTTTGCTTTGCACGACAAAGCTATTCCCATGCCGTCCTGTGACTCCCGTCCCTCCCTCTCGCCCTTATGGCCCCTCCAGCCATGCCCTTCCGGAAGATTCTTCATCCATCCACAACTGATGGCTCAAGGATAGGATTCTCTTGTTTCTATTTCCTTCACACATCTCCCTCCCTCCCTCTTCCCCTGCAGCCGTGCCTCTTTGGTGGATTCTTCATCCATTCACAACTGATGGCTCAAGGACAGGAGACAATTGATACTATGACTGGTAAAGGATAGGTTGCTGTGCAAAACGGTGGGCCGATGGGGTGGGCTGTGGGATGCTATGCTCTTCTATTGCAAGCATTCGTTACAAGCAATGCAGACAGTAATATGCAAACAGGCTTATGAGGTACTTATGGTAACACTGTCCTGTACCAGTGGCATTTCGTAAATACTTCATCAGTCTCTGGCCTAATCAAGCACTATTGAAGCCTAGTATATTTGCGGCAATTTGTCGAGCAGATAACCGGTAACCAGCAAACCCTATTTCTGTAACTGCTGCTGTGGACGGCGACGGTGATGGTGCAAACGTGGAGGGAAGCGAGTGGGAGTGTGTGGGAATAATGCGGGGGAAGAGAGAGAATGGGCGGCTAGACACGAGGGCGGCGTTTCTTGCCATGTTGTGGTGGTGGGTGCAGTCAAATGCTGATAGCTGCGATGACCTGGTGGAGGGGGGACATAAGAGGAAAGGAGGGTGGGGGGAGGGGAGGGGAGGAACAGAGTGCGGGGTCTTAAGGGGAGATGGTGGTGGTGGTGGTGGTGGTGGTGGTGGTGGTGGGTGCAGTGCGGTGCTGATGGCAGTGACGTGCTGGTCGCAGAGGGACAGAAGAGGGAAGGGGAGGGGGGAAAGGGGTTCAGCATGGGCGAATTTGAGTCAACTCAGACTACTTATGAGGCGCCTCAAAATCAGAGTAGACTAAGAAGCCATGTTGTGGTGGTGGGTGCAGAGGAATACTGGGGGCTGTGATGAGCTGGTGGATGGGAGGCAGAAGTGTAAGGGCGGGTGGAGGGGAGGAGGGGGGGAAGAAGGGTTCAAAAAGAGGTGAATTTGCGTTGACTCAGAAGTCATGTTGTGGTGGTGGGTGCGATGGGATGCTGAGGGCTGTGATGAGCTGTTGGGCGGGAGACACAAGTGTACGGGCTGGTGGAGAAGAGGGGGGAGGAGGGGACGCACGGAGGCTGGATCGTTTTGAGACGTCTCAAAACATCTCTTTTATCACGTGGGAGGAGAAGAGGGGGGAGGAGGGGACGCACGGAGGCTGGATCGAGGTGTTAAGGGGAGATGGATGGTTGTGGTGGCGGTGGAGCAATGAGAGGAGGGGGAACGGGAGAAAGGGGGAAAGGAACGAATGGGGGCGCGGGAAGGAGAGAGAGGGGCTGAGAAAGGTGAGGAGAGGGGAACGGGAAGTGAGGGTGGGGGCAGGAGAGGGGGGGGAAAGGGGGAGAGGGAGCAAGGAGGGGGCGGGAGTGGGGGAGTGGTTAGGGAAACAGAACGAGGATAGAAAGACAGGAAGCGGGCTCGAGAAACTGGAGCAAAGAAGCGAGCGCGAATAGACGAGGGGGAGAGAACGGGGAAGCGAGAACGAGGGTGAGAGAAGCAGTCAAGAACGAGGCACGGGGGAACGAGAACGAGGGTGAGAGAATGGCACAAAGCAGTCAAGCAAACAAAGGGGAACCAGGCGACTAAAAGAAGCATGACACGTGTCTCATGTTGTCAGATGGTGAATAGAGAAAGCATGCCACGTGTCAGCCTCTCAGGCTACAAGCTCTCAACACGCACCTAATGGGTATGACAACTCATGTTGCGAGATCTTTGAGAAAAGACAGTATCACACTGAATTGTTCGTGCTCTCTTCTGTCTGCCTACTCATTCCCGCCGATGCGAATTTCCATTGTCAGAGCGAAATCACCAGGCGGCCTGACTGCTGACCGTCCCTGCCGCCGGCTGAGCGGCCTTATCCGGCGGAAGGTAACGATACCAGCTAGCCGTTCGGATCGTCCTGCTCGGCACAGCACGGCACGGGATCGGACCCAAGCCGCAACGCACCGCAAGCTTACTGCGCTGCAACGCACTGCACCGCGGGCTTACCCGTCCACGGTCTCGGTGTGAAACCCCTGCCGCTGCTTGTGCTTGGGGTTTGTCGCGCACACCACGTACACCCGCCCGCGCCGCCGCACCACGCGGCACGCTTCGCACAGCCGCTTCACCGACGCGCGAACCTTCATCGCGACACGCGCGCGCTGTGGCTGCTGATGAATGCCCTGCTCTGCTGCTAATCGCGCTGCGAGAAACGAACTCCTGATGTTTCAGCCCAAGTTGTCCAGAGGAAGCGTGTCGTTATAAGTTGTGCCGATTTACGGAACCAGGGCGAACGGGCTCAAAATCTGTGTTACGACAATCAAGTGTAAACTTTTGATATAAATCCAAATACCAGAAGGTAAAATTTGAAAAGCTCAGCCGATTGATTCATTTCTCCAGAAAACCACTTTTCAAGCAATATAGAAAACGGCCGATCTGGAGTAGTGGAAACTAGATACTTTGATTCCGCATGGTTGTTCCACATGAACATGTTGCGCATTGTTATCAAACCACAACACAAGTTTGCCCAGCACTAGCTTTTCCACCAGTGCCTAAACTTAAATGGCAACTTCCACTTCCTTTCATGCGTTGAATCCAGCAGAAACAATGCTATGAGCTTGCTCTCCTGGGCTCTATCCAGCCTTTTATCTTCTGCCTCCTAACTGAGGCACAATCCCATCTCGAATCATCGGTTTCCCCCAAGAGATGCGACCAGACAGAAAAAAAAAAACAAAACAAAAAAAAACAAATCAAGCAGTTATGAGGCAGCGTGCTTGGTCTGTGCGTGCTGCTTCAGGCCCTCTTCGGACCTGAATTTTCTGAGTGGGCACAACAGTGAACGGGGGACAGGGGAGTGGGGAGGGGAAAAGGGGGTGAGGGTGGGTGGGAGGGAGGGAGGATGAAACACATTGAGTTCAGCATGTCACGTGGGTCAGAATGAACAAGCCAAGTTTTGACCCCCCCCACTCCTCTACCCCCCCCCCCCCTGCCCCCTTCCCCCCCCCCAAAAAAAAGAAAAAGAAAAGAGCCATGAATGAGGGGCCTCAAAACAGGACTCAGCATGCCACGTGGGTCAGCATGAGCCACATTTGAGAATTCTTAAAAACCACCAAACTAGCAACCGGATGAGAAGTACAGAAAGAGACACTCACTTGTTGCACGCTCCGCACACAATTCCGCCTTCAGGAGTTGCTGCCTTGGCTGCTGTGGCTGCTTTAGCTGGCGTTGAACCCTCCTTAGCAGGAGTCCCTGCTGCCTTTCCTGCCTTGGCTGCTTTCGCAGGAGTGGATGCTTTAGCAGGGGAGGCAGCAGGGGCAGCTTTGGCGAGAGCAGAGGCGGCTTTGGCTAGTGTGGCGCCGGGAGTGGGGGGGTTGGGCACTGGCTTGGCTGGGGTTGGGGCGGGGGCGCGGGGGACCGGCGTGGTTGCTGGTGTGGTGGGCTGGGGGATGGGAGATGGGGGCGGGGAGTGGGGGGAATCAAGAAAGAGAGGGGAGGAAGACAGGAGTCAGTACTACAATGGAGAGCAGAAGAGCAGAGCGGAGGCAGCAGGGGCAGCTTTAGCGAGAGCAGAGGCGGCTTTGGCTAGTGTGGCGCCGGGAGTGGGGGGGTTGGGCACTGGCTTGGCTGGTGTGGGTGCCGGGGCACTTGGCACTGGGGTGGTTGCTGGCGTGGTGGGCTGTGGGAGGAGGGGAGCGGGGATGGGAACGGGGAAGGGGAGGCGGGACAGGGAAAAAAGAGGGGGGTTGGCACTGGCTTGGCTGGTGTGGGTGCCGGGGAACGTGGCACTGGGGTGGTTGCCAGTGTGGTGGGCTGAGGGATGGGAGATGGGGGCGGGGGGGTGGAGGGGGATGTGGAGGGATGAGGGAGGGAAACAAGAGAGGGGAGGAAGACAGGAGTCATTACTACAATGGGAGTGGGGGGGTTGGGCACTGGCTTGGCTGGTGTTGGGGCGGGAGCACGGGGGACCAGCGTGGTTGCTGGTGTGGTGGGCTGAGGGGTTCGGGAACGCAACGGGAAAGGGAGACAGCACAGGGAAAATAAATGGGGGGGGAGGGGGAAGAGAGCATATCTTATACACCGACCATTCATATAACACCCTTTTCATAGCACACCGCATTCACGTACCATTCCATTCACATTTGAGAATTCCCAAGATTTTGTTGAGGCGAAGTCATTCACGTAGGTAGCATTCCAACGAGTCACATCTGAGAATTCTCCAAGGTCAAACTACAACCGATGAATTCGCCTCCCTGTTGCATCGCCATGGGTCATGGGATGGGATGTGTGGGGCCTTTTTTGGGACGCCAAAAAAACATCTCCCTGTTGCATTGCCAAGGGTCATGGCATGTATGGGGCATCACTAATCACCATTCACATGATCAATCCATGAAATCACATGCATGCAGCTCACCTGTGCCTTATCTTCCTTGCCAGGAGTGCCCTCCTCCTTCCCCTTCTTACCCTTTCTCAAAAGTCACCTCTTTTGACTCGACTCAAAAGCCAAATCACATGCATGCAGCTCACCTGTGTCCTATCTTCCTTGCCAGGTGTCCCCTCCTCCTTCCCCTTCTTCCCCCTTGTAACTGACTTTTGGATTGAGTCGACTCAAAAGCCAACTCACCTGTGCACGCAATCACTTGTCCATGCAACTCACCTGTGCCTTATCTTCCTTGCCCGGAGTCCCCTCTTCCTTCCCCTTCTTCCCCTTTCTCCTCTTCCCCTTCCCCTCCCCTGCCTCTCCCCCAGGCGTCCCCTGCGCCCCCTCCTTCTCACTGACCTCAATCTCCCCTTCTTTCCTCTTCCTATCCACACCATTCGCACTCCCTGCCTTCGCCCCTTCTCCGCCTTTCGCCCCCACTCCTCCCTTGCTCCCTTCGCCTGCCTCTCTCTCAGCCGTCTTCTTCTCTTCTTGTGCTGCGGTGAGCTGTGCCAGCACTGCTGCTGCCTTCTGAGCCTTCTTTGCTTCTGCAATCGGCAAAAGAAAAAGGGGTGGGAGGGGGGGGGAGGGGGGGGGGGGGGGGTAGGGGAAGAGGCGAGGGTAGGAGCAACGGGATGCAGGCGTTATGAGGAGGCGGGGGCACGAGAGACAGTGCTGCTCTTGCTGCTGCTGCTGCTTCTGCTGCTCTTGCTTCTGCTGCTGCTGCTGCTGCTGCTGCTGCTGCTGCTGCTGCTGCTGCTGCTGCTGCTGCTGCTGCTGCTGCTGCTGCTGTGAGCTGTGCCAGCATTGCTGCTACATTCTAGGCCTTCTTTGCTTCTAAATTAGGGAAATAAAAAATATGCGGAAGAGGAGGTGAGGGAGGTGTTATGAGGAGGCGAGGGCAGGAGCGACCGTGCTGCTGCTGCTGCTGTTGCTGTAAACGCTGCAACCTGCATTGCTACTGTGCAGCGCTGCTGCTCACTGCAATGCGATCTCTTTTGCAAATGAACGCGACTCACTCTTTGTGGCTAGCTCTGCCTGCAGCGCTGCCCAAGTTCTCCCTTGTTGTGCGCTGCATTCGGCATTGCTGTCTGCGTTTGTTTTTACATGCAGCTCAACTCAACTCACTTTTGGTGGCTAGCTCCGCCTGCAGCGCTGCTATCTCCTTTGCCGCCTCCCTCTCAATCGCCTCCTCATCCTCCTCCTCTTCCTCTTCCTCCTCTTCCTCATCCTCTTCAATATCAGCAAATGGGTCCTCATCGGCCTCTGCAACCCCAGGAAAGGAAGTTGAAACGATAAAAAGAAAGCAAATAACTTCCTAAAAAAACAACAACAAACAAAACAAAACCAACAAATAACAACAAAAAGCACCATAAAAGCTTCAGAAAATGGCCGTTCTCACAAAAACTGCACCCCACCACCTGGCTCTTCGCCCCCTAATCCCCATCCCATCCCATCCCATCCCATCCCATCCCATCCCATCCCATCCCATCCCATCCCATCCCATCACATCCCCATAGAGGTTCCAGAATGCATGTCAAACCGTGTGCGAGCTTGAACGGCCGTCCCTTCACCAACTGCACCACCTCACCACCCGGTTCTTCGCCCCCCTAACCCCCATCCCTTCCCTTCCCGGTAGGCGGTCTATGGGGTCTTAGGCCTGTGTCTTACCTCCCCCATCCGGATACTCCCCTGCATCGTCTTGTACCCGCTCAGAAACACACTCCCTGTGCCGCCATGGGCCAGGGAAAACGGCCGTTCCAAAACCAACTGCACCCTCGCCTGGTCCCTTAACCCCACCCCACCCCACCTCCCTTCCCTTCCCTTAGGCTGTCCATGGGGTCTTAGGCCTGTGCCTTACCTCCCCCATCCGGATACTCCTGCATGGCCTTGTACCCCCTCAGGCACACACTCCCTGTGCCGCCATGGGCCAGAACCCAAGCAGCCCACACGTTGCAGGGCAGCAGGGCAGGGAGTTTTTGAGAATTCTCAAAGACTCCTTGAACCCCCTCAGGAACACACTCCCCGTGGTGCCCCCATGAGCCAGAACCCAAGCAGCCCACACGCGAGTACCAGACAGACACTGACCCGCAGACAGACTGTGCGTGAAATTGAGTGAAGCACCCTCTTGAGACGTCTCAAAACCAATCTCATTTCACACGAGTACCAGACACTGGCTCACAGACAGACGGCAAGGAAACACAAGATCTTCACTTTTCTTACCTCCCCCATCTATATGGGAGTGACTTTTGAGAATTCTCAAAAGGAAACACAAGATCTTCACTTTTCTTACCCACGTGAAGCGAGGTTGTTTTTGAGACGTCCCAAAAAGTACCAGACACTGGCTCACAGACAGACAGCAAGGAAACACAAAGATCTTCACTTTCCTTACCTCCCCCATCCGGGTACTCCTGCATGGTCTTGTACCCGCTCAGAAACACACTCCCAGAGAGAACGGCTGCTCCGACACCAACTGCACTCTCGCCTGGTCCTTCTTACCTCACTGCACCCCTCCCATCCCTTCCCATCCCTTCCCGGTCCGCATAGAGGGTCTAAGTCGTACCTCCCCCATCCGGATACTCCTGCATGGTCTTGTACCCGCTCAAGAACACACTCCCTGTGCCACCATGGGCCAAAGAGAACGGCCGTTCCAACACCAACTGCACTCTCGCCTGGTCCTTCTCCCCCCCTTGCAGCACCGCCACCACCGCACTGTACTCCTCTGCACTCCCGTCCTTGCCCTTCAGCTGCTCCTTGTCCTTCTCCTCGTCGCTGTCACTAAACGCAGGTGGGGCGGTCGTGAGTGTGATGGCCACTCGCTCGCCTGCCTTAGGGGAGGGGCCTAGTGCGACCTGGGAGGGAGAGAGAGCAAGAGAGAGAGAGAGAGAGAGAGAGAGAGAGAGAGAGAGAGAGAGAGAGAGAGAGAGAGAGAGAGAGAGAGAGAGAAGGTAGGATATGAGGGGTTTTTAGAGGCTGAGGTGCATTGCTTCTTATAACCTTGTGCATGTCTGTACCTTGCTCGGATCTAATACACGGACCGCTTGAGAGAGAGAGAGAGAGAGAGAGAGAGAGAGAGAGAGAGAGAGAGAGAGAGAGAGAGAGAGAGAGAGAGAGAGAGGGAGAGAGAGAGAGAGAGAGAGAGAGAGAGAGAGAGAGAGAGAGAGAGAGAGAGAGAGAGAGAGAGAGAGAGAGGACTTAGCCTCTGCCTCTAGCCTCTGCCCCTGCCCTCTGGCTATTTAAGGGGCCCGACTGGCCATTCCTCTCCCATTAGTTCATTTCGTTCCAGTTTTTAGCGACATGGAGAGAGCGAGAGAGAGAGAAGCAAGGACTTAGCCTCTTCCCTCCTAGCCTCTTCCCCTCTCTTCCCCAGCTATATAATGGCCTCCTGGCCTCTGGTTTAGCTCATTCTTCATTCGGTGTTCCAATTTTTCCGGCCTTCGTTCGAGAGAGCGAGAGAGAGAGAAGCAAGGACTTAGCCTCTTCCCTCCTAGCCTCTTCCCCTCTCTTCCCCAGCTATATAATGGCCTCCTGGCCTCTGGTTTAGCTCATTCTTCATTCGGTGTTCCAATTTTTCCGGCGCTTCGCGCCGGCGCTTCGCGCCGGCGCTCGCGGGCGCGGCCTGCGGCCACGCGTTCGGGACGACAAGATCAACAAGGATGACATATAGCAAGATGACAACACCGACGAACATGGCAGGCAACGACAACTAGGAGAGCAAACATGGAGCGGGTCTACTCACGCGCGAGAGGGGCGCCTACATGCGGTCGGCCTCAAGCTCACCAAGCGTTTCGCGCGTGGTCAACCACATCAGGCGGACCACTGACGCGGTGGCGCCGACAACGTCAACAGGAGTTCCGCGAGATCCAACAAGCGTCTTCAGATCCAGGGCCTTCTCGGCCAGCTGGGTGGCCGAGACTACTCCCGGCGAGGGCGCAACCTGCAGTGGCGATACGTACGAGAATAGCGCTGACGCCGCCGCATGACACCGTGCTCGTGGCATCTGAGAGAATGTGCTCGGTGGGGTCACCGCCATGGAGCCATGGGACTCCAGGAGTATCAGCTCAAGGCTCTGCAGGCTCTCCGCCAGCGACCACAAGCGCGCCAGGGTCACCGTGGGCACTTCCTTCATCGGCGGAAGGACAGCAGCGGCGCGCGTTCGGCGGGACGACACAGCGAGATCACGTGGAGGGGAGCGAGGACGCAGGGGTGCATACGCGGCCCAGGGATCCCCACCACCTGCGCCCACGAAGCCAGCCCCTGCTGGCAGCGGACGACCAGGACGCGCAAGGGAGCCCTCAGGGTTGTGCGGCAGGAGGGCAGCAAGAGGAACGACGGGGCCAGCCGGCGGCACGGAATGGGATGACGCCTCCGCGTTCGAGCGGTGGAGCGCTTTCTCCACGCCGTCCAACCTTCGGAGAACGCGCTCAAGCTCGGACGGCGCTTGACGCGCAGTTTCGCCGCGTCCATACCCTCCCCGCTGCCCACGACGCCCACGTCCACTTGCATTCGAGTGAGCGGGCGACTGCTGGCGAGATGGGACGCGTTGGCGCTGGCGAACAGGGGATCGGCCCCCGTGACGAGGAGAGTAGAGCCGCTGGCGCTTTGACGGCCGCGGCGAACGCGCAGATGGGGACCGCGGGCGAGACACGTGCGGAGCAGGCGATCGATAGTGTGTGGCTTGGCGACCGGGCGAACGGTGACGACGCGACCGCCGGTCCGGAGATCGGCTCCTCGATACCGCGCGGCGCGGTGAACGTGGTGAGTGCGGTGATCGCGGCTTCCGAGGCGACCGAGGCTCGGCGTGACGCTCCGCACGGTGGCTCTCCTGCCCGTCACCACGCGCCACTGTCGATCGGCGACGAGGCGAACGTTCCCGGCGCGCCGCAGCCTCTGCGTCGGAGCGCACGACGGACTCCGCACGCGCAGGCGCCGGCGCGGGCCGCTGATCTTCGAAACGGCGACGAATCTGATCGGCGGCAGCCATCGGAGCGACAGGGACGCTCGCGGCAGGACGTGCAGGAGGAAGCGGACGGGGAGCGAGATCGCTCACCGCGGAACACCCGCGCTCAGGAGCAGCCAGGAGATCCATCGGAGCAGAGGGATGATAGCGCTCGCCCAACGGGCGGCCGACGCGGCGGAGGTAGAGCTGCAGGCCGGGGAGGGCGAGCAGCTGGGCGTGGCGGGAGGGCTCGAGGAGGCGGTCCGGAGAACGTGTACCAGCAGGCGGGACGGAGGGCTTTAACTGAGATGAGCAACGATAATAATTCAACCACTTCAGACGGCAGCTTTGTAGCTGCAGAATCTACGGACTCGACCTCTAGCTCTGAGTCACTGGAAGACGAGCAGCAACAGACCCCCGCTCGAGCGAGCAGGCCAGCCGCAACTCACCTGCCGGGGGGAAACTCAGCAGTGAGATCCAACAGGAGGGGTCCCCCAACACCAACCCGTGCCGCATCGGGAAATTTCGCCACTCCACCAATCCCAACCCCGATTTCCAACATTCAGACCCCTACCCACACCGCCCCCCAACCTGCACCTGGCGGTAACCACGTCCCAACCCAACCCTTAGAGGAAAAATCCCCAGAAACTCTCGCCAAGGACGACACGCTATTCGCCAGCGTTGTAGCCTGGGATCTCACGAAACTACGCGACTCTCGCCACGCACCCCTTTCCCGCCACCTCCCTCCAGACCCACGCAAGCTTTTCGCCACAGCCTTGTTGGCGCCGCTGCTGCGCTTGGCGAAATATCCAGACTCTACCTCTGCTTGGACGGTCGTTCTATTCCTGGCGCGCTTAACACTTCGCCAGCTGTCCCCACGACGTCCAGATTGGAAGGCTGTCAGTGCCCGCCTTCGTCAGTTTCTGTCCGGGGAGTGGGATAAGCTATACAATGAGACAGTGGGCTCACTGACGTGGCCCCAACCACCTAGACACCAGCCCGATGACATTGGTGTCATCGCTAGGGCAGAGGGGTTGGCACGACGTGGCAGCCTACGACGAGCCGTGATGGCACTAGAAGCCACGCCAGTCAGCATTCCCTCCCCAACTGTGCTGGAGGCCCTGCGCGCCAAACACCCACCAGCGCCCGCCTCCCCACCTGACTGGACTTTTCCAGCACCTGACCCCCACCTATCAGCACCATTTGCAGTCTTCTCCAAGGTGCTGGGAAGCTGCGAGATGGGGGTAGGAGCGGGCCCCTCTGGAACCACGTTTGAACACTTACGCGATGCAGCGCTGATCAACCACTCCGTTGGGAAGCACCTTCACGCACTAGTCAACACGATTCTCACGGGAAACCTACCTCCTGCAGTGGCCGAGCTCCTCACCGCCTCGAGATTAATTGCCCTGAGCAAGCCCGATGGGGGGACGCGGCCGATCGCCATCGGCGAAAGCATAACGCGCCTCGCGGCCAAGACGGCGCTTACCTTGACCGCAGGGGCCGCCCGTGAGTTCTTCCTACCGCACCAGTTCGGCGTGGCTGTCCCCGGTGGGGCGGAAGCGATTATCCACATCACACGCACTTACCTCACGGTGAACACAGGAGCTTTGGTCCTGCAGGCTGATCTGGCGAACGCATTTAACAGCGTCAACCGCAACGCCATCATCAAATCTCTTCGGGACTCCACCCTCGCCTCGCTCTTACCGTTAGTTAAACTGCTGTACGGCCTTCCCTCGGCTCTATGTCTGGATGCTGGCTTCTCACACCCACCTCTGCTGAGCGAGACCGGGGTGCGACAGGGAGATCCCCTCGGCCCGTTGTTCGCTGCCGCCATACACCCTGCACTGACGAAAACAGCGCTCACCTTCCCCTCTGTCGTCTGTCTTGCCTATGCGGACGACGTAACTTTCCTTGGAGATGCAGCCACGTGTGCAGCAGCGTTTGAGGACTTCACAGGAAACCTTGGGGAGATTGGGCTGCGCCACAACCCCGCCAAATGCGCAGCCTGGTCCCAGGCAGGCCGACAGGGAGCTGCGCTACCAGTGGGCGTACCTTTCACTGAAGATGGGGTGAAGGTGCTTGGCAGTTTCATCGGTGGCAGTGACGCAACTGCCGCGTTCCTACGTGCCAGCCTCGACACCATGGGTGGGCCGTTGCCCTTAATAGCGCGGATGGAGCCACAGCTGGCTTCCCTTCTGCTCTCTCGGTGCATCTCACGAAGGATCGCTTACGTCGCCCGCACCACGCCGCTTTCAGCCCTGCCAGTCGAGGAGTGGTCAGACTGGGGTAAAAGGCTGTTTGAGACACTGCTCGATGCCTGCGGCATTCGCCACCCACGGGGGGAGGCCGAGATTTCACGTACCTGGGCGCAAGCGTCACTCCCCATCTCGCTCGGCGGTTTAGGTCTCACAGACCCCTCGGTGGAGGGACGTGTTGGGTTTCTCGCAAGCTACACGCAAGCGCAGCACCTGCTCACCTCCATTGATGAGTCGGCGGTCGGCGCCCTGGCGGAAACGCGGATCCAGATGGTGGGGCCCTTCATCAACACGTCCCCGCTCTTTGACTAGCTGGAGAGGTGTGAGGAGTCACTGCCTGCCGGATGATGGGAAGGAGCTGCTGCAGAGCGACCGAGTTGATCCCAAGGGCGTCAAGCTGCAGCACGGGCTGGCAATCGCGGTCCACGGACTGCGCTACGCGGAGCAGGTGCAGGCTACACGCATCATGCCTCTCAACCCAATGAGCGGGCACACTCAGCGCATGCTCTCACTCTCAGGGTATGGGGCAGGAGACTGGCTCAATGCAGTCCCCTTCAACTCGACACTACGGCTTGCCCCTGCTCACTTTGCGCATGCGCTGCAATTCCGGATGGGGCTACCCTCCTCAGCTCCAGGCGCGTGTGACTGCCGCAAGGAGACAGCGATCCCAGACAGGCGGCTGCCCAACCACCTGCTGCGCTGTGACACAGGGAAGGGGCGGACCAACACGCACAATGAACTGCGCGATGCGTGTCTGCACATGGCCGCCGACGCTGATTTCATGACTCACAGTGAGACGACCACAATCTGCCCCGTCACCCTTAAGAAAGCAGACATAGCGATCCGGGACAAGTCCTCAGGGGCGGTGTGGATAGGGGACGTGACCATCACGGACCCCATTAGCACACGGGATCCCAACGCGGTTAAGGGCAGGGGGTGGGCGGCCAGAGAGGCGGCAGAGAAAAAGATCTCCGACTACGAGGGCTCAACGGCCTCGTGGGTCGGATTCTTCCCTCTCGCCGTTGATACCTACGGCTGCCCCTGCGCGGAGGTCCCTCAATTCCTCAAACTTCTGGCCGACACCGGCGCGCGCAAGCTCTTCAACGCTGCCCCCTCATCTTACCAAGCAACAAAGCTGCTGCATCAGTTCCGCCAGCGGTGGTCCGTGGCGCTGCAGCGGGCGCAGTCGGTGAGCTTCATGACGAAGTGCAACTATGCGGCTCAGGTAGAGAACCCACCTGTGGCGCTGCCGGGCGAAGGCATGTCCCTCGGGGACTGCCTTGCCATCCTGGAGCCTGCACTGGAGCTGCCTTAGAGGGTGAACGAGAGTAGGTAGGATATGGGGGTTATAGAGGCTGAGGTGCATTGCTCCTTATAACCTTGTGCATGTCTGTACCGTGCTCGGATCTAATACACGGACCGCTTGAGAGAGAGAGAGAGAGAGAGAGAGAGAGAGAGAGAGAGAGAGAGAGAGAGAGAGAGAGAGAGAGAGAGAGAGAGAGAGAGGACTGCGCCGGCCTACCTGGCATCTACAACAGAGGCGCTGCGCCTGCTCCGCTCCCTGGACTTACCGGCAACCGCGCCGCTAGGGGCCGACAGCAACGCCCTGCAGCCGTCTGCAGCGCACTCCGTGACCATCCAGGACATGGAGGGGCGACTGCCACCGCTGGCGCTACAAAGCCTACGGGAGGAGCAGCACACCCCGTCCCAGGACCAACTGCAGCGCGCCCTCTCCCAGGAAGTGCACGCGGCAAAGGCCAACGCCCTAAGAGAGGAGTCACGCGCAATACAGTCAGCCCCCGAGATGGGCCACACACTCCGCCTAGTCAGCCTGAGAGGAGAGGGAGCGGGAGCGTGGCTGCAGCAGGCACTACCCTTGACCCCGGACCTCTGCTTCTCACCAGGACAGTTCCGAGCGGCCCTGGCCTTCCGCATGGGCATCCGACAGAATGTACCAACCGTGTGCGAGTGCGGAGAACTCGTAGCTGACTGCAGCCTACCCAACCACTTACTCCGCTGCAGCACAGGCCCCGACAGGACACGCACACACAACCAGCTGGCCTTCGCCATGGCTAAACTGGCGAGGGAGGCGCAGCTGGTGGTATACCTGGAGAATGCGATGTACTCACCTCCGGATGACCCGAAGAAGGCAGATGTGATTGTACAAGACCCGGACAGCGGAGAGACCTGGATCACAAACACCACTATCACTGACCCTGTGCTGCAGAACCGAGACCCTAGGTGTGTTTTGAGTCGACTCAAAACACACCTTGAGTCGACTCAAAAAACACCTTGAGTCGACTCAAAACACACCTTGAGACGACTCAAAACACACCTTGAATCGACTCAAAACACACCTTGAGTCGACTCAGAACACACCTTGAGTCGACTCAAAACACACCTTGAGTCGACTCAAAACACACCTTGAGTCGACTCAAAACACACCTTGAGTCGACTCAAAACACACCTTGAGTGAGTCGACTCAAAACACACCTGGATCACAGACACCACGATCACTGACCCTGTGCTGCAGAACCGGGACCCCACGGCCCGCAAACCCCCAAGTTGGGCTGCAAGGGAGGCACAGAAGTGGATGGAGAGGGACTACTACCGACACACTGAACACGTGGTGTTCTGCGCCCTGGCCGTCGAGACCTATGGGGCAAACGCGCCCCCCACGACGGCGTTCCTGAAACTGCTGGCCACAGCAGCAGCTAGGAACCGCTTTAGGGCCAGCCCCTTGGCGAAATCCGCCAAGAAGATGGCCTGCCACTTCAGCCAGCGCTGGTCAGTGGCCCTCCAGCGCTCCCAGGCGAACGCCTTGCACACCAAGGCCAGGGCTGGGATTGAGGCAGCACACCCCCAGATGGCAGCGGACCCCTGGCCGCTGCACCTGGGGGACATCCTCCACACGCTGGAGGGCTAGAGGGTCACTCAGGGGGGAGGGGAGGGGAAGAGGGGTGAGTTGATGGGCTTGTGGGATTGAGGTTATCATGGATAGAACTGCTTGTCTGTACCCCTGCTGAATTAATACAACGGACCATTTGAGAGAGGGAGAGTTTAACGAGGATGAGAGGGGGGAGAGAGCAGGATAGGCGAAGGTAGGAAGTTTTGAGACGCCTCCAAACATTGCTTTAGGGGAGGGGCCTAGAGCGACCGGGGAGAGAGACGGGGTTCAGCGAGGATGAGAGGGGGGAGAAGGCAGGATAGGCGAAGGGGGGAATGGGAGGATGAATGAGAGTAGAGGGAGGAACAGTGCTCACCAGTGCTCACCCGACCTTCTAACCACAACTGGTATTTGCAATTG